CAATATTTTGTATATTTTTAAAGCAAGACACAGTCAAAATCAATCAGCGAAGAATTTAACCACGCTCTCTTGCTCACCCTCATACAAAGCACTTTTAGCTCTCTTGTATTTCTCTTGAGCTCACTCTGCTTGGACTGCTCTTCATTTTGGATTGCCGAATGGCTCGGCTTTTATAGCCAAAATCCACCGCCCATAATAAATGCAATGGGCTACAAAGTCATAATCCAACATGCACAATAAATGCAATGGGCTTCTAAGTGATAATCCAACCTTGCCTCCATGTTTCATGGACAAAATTGCAGCGAGCAAAATACTCCCATTTTTTTAATAATTTCGGCTGCCACAAGATATCCCATGCAACCAAATTTGAAAAGCTGAAATTTGCATTTGCAACAACATTAGTGGTGCTTGTGCTCCATAGCTGTAGGACTCCTGACAGTGCGATTTCCATTTGACCGTATAAACTCTCCAAACGCATACCCTCTAGGCTTTACACAATCCTTGGGCTTAAACATGACCTTGAATGTCTTATCTTCGCTAGTTTTCCCAAACCTCAAGCTAGCAGGCTTAACTGGCATATAAACCTTCTTGACTTTCTTAGTAACAATAATTGGGGCTTGAAAACTTGGAATTGTGACTGAGGGATAATTAAAATCTATCAAGGCTGAATGATTCAGGACATGTGTGTGATGCTTATTGGATATTAATTTGATCCAACTTTGGTTGTAACCACGACAACATAGGAAGTTCAAGTAATCTTCTGGTGTTAGGTCCTACACAAGTCCTAGATCTATTGTGAGGTTTGGTTGGATTCTCCTGCACCATAGGAAAATGGAGTTGCCTTCATATAGGCTGCATCTAACATTGGCTCCTTACTGTCATCATGGTTTCTTGATGTCAAAGAAACAAATTTCAGAACATGTAATTCTGTAGATAGCTTAAATAAAAAGCCTTTAGATGAGCCATACCAACCGTCATGATAGCAGATCTTATAGCCGCTGGACTCCAGTCAAGATGAATTGTTCTGAGAAGGGCAGCAATGCTAGAAACATGAGGGCATGACACCGAAGTTCCAGTTTGTACTTTGAAGGAATGTGGCGCTTGTCAGAAAGGAGATTAGCAGGTCCTACAAACTACAGCTTCACTATAAACAGCTATCATGATGAAAAGCATTTTATGTGCTTTAGTCCATTATATTAACGTTAATTTTATTACTAGTGGCAAGGTTAATATATGACTTTAAATAGATTTTACATAGTTTTTATTCTTTGTGAAAAAAGAACTTAAATGCATAATAATAGGAGATTTTGGAGTTAATTAAATATCTTTTGAAAGTTGAGAGACTGAATTGTGAGAAGAAAGGTTCCTTTTGGGACCTAAATGAATGAATCCTAAGTTATGGGATCAAAATGCTCATCATATAAAAGCTGGAGCATCAGATCTGCCATTTTACCATTGAAGCGATTGCCAAGGGGGCGGAAAAAGGCACGTGCAGCATTATTAATTTCCCATTTTGTCATGAGTCTTACAGGTTTCATAAATTTTATAAATATTTATTTAAAAACCAGATTTGATGAATCTAATGAATATGTTTTGTAATAATGAATATATTTATCTAATGTATTTTAAAATAAATAACTTAGATGGATATATATTTTTTGCTTTTAAGTAAGGTTTTTCGTTTGGTTAAAAAAGAGACTTTAAGATCCATCATTTTCCTTTTATGACTAATGTCAATTCTTAATTTATGATGGCAATTCATGTTTGTTTAAAAAATATTTTATATTAAATTATGCCATATTAATTATGAATTCATATAAGTGGTGGAGGATCACTTGTACGCTACTCTAAATAATAATAATTTTTAAAAAATAAAAGCAAATATGATAATTGAAATTTAAAAATATACTAATATCATAATATTTAGTTCAAAATTACTATCATTTAATTGTGATGAATCAATATAAAAAATGTGATTAATTGTATAAAAGAACAAAAAAAGTTCAACCTGTGGATCAACCTTTGACTTGTTAGGATTAGATTATGGTCAGCACTTATTAATTCACAACCCACATATGACCCAACCCGTAGAACTTGTGACCCGAATAGAGGCAATCCGAACCCAACCCAACTTGCTTGTTTACCACCTCTACAAAAAAGGAATTGCATGCATAACAATAGGAGTTTTGGGATTAATTCAATATTTTTTGAAAGTTGAGGGACTGAATTGTGAGAAGAAAGATTCCTTTCAAGGACCTTAATGAATGATGCTGAAGTTATGAGATCAAAGTGCTCATCGTATAAAAGATGGAGAATCAGATCTGCAGTTTTATCATTGAATAAATTGCAAGAGGGTCTAGGAACCAGACACTGGTTTGGTATCAACACCTACTTTGTGGTGTT